GAAAAGTGTACTTCAGCGATGGTGTAGGTGTAAGCAAAGGTACTTGTAACTAAAGAGGATTTGGAGGAGGAAAACGGTACTTGTAACTATAGCGTAGAAGGAGGCAACTGTACTTATAACATTGGCGCAGGAAGAGAAGGCAACTGTACTTACAACATAACAAGTGGAGGGAGCAGGGGGCCTACTGTAATTGTAAATAAGAATGAGACGAGGGAGGGCAACTGTACTCAAACTTAGGGGGAGATGGTAAGCCATCTGTACATTCTAGGTGCAGTACAGTTGGTCGTTAGTTATTTGGTAAATATCCGAGGATGCCACGCCCCACACACAGTACCGTATTTAGGCACATACTAGAGGGCGTTGCTGGGATTGCAGTTTTTGGCCTGCCTCCTGCTGCTATTGCTTGATATTTAGCTTTCACTTGTGTTTTGTGTTTTATTGTGTCAGTTTTTGCTGCACGTTGTTTGGCCGAGACGACGACAACTGTACACTGGTCCTGTTCGTGGCACATAGCTCCGGAGCGGAGCTTCGTTGGCTATGTACCAGTCCGTGCTGGCTGGGGGTTAGTGTTGCAACAAACAACAGCAAAGTGCAGCCGCATGCAGTAGCAGTGGCAGGAGCAGCAACTGTTTCTCTCACTCACTCTCAGTTATGCTACCACTATTGCTCTCTCTGTCTCGCTGTCTCTTCGTCTTTCTCTTCTGCTCTCTCCTCGCTCTATTGTTGTTTATTTAAGTTTTATGTGTGCCTGTTTAGTTAACGGGATATATTTGGCCAGCACGGCTCTCACACTCTCCCAACATGCAGCTAGCTCTCTCTCCTGCTCTCTGGCTCTCCTTCTGGCACACGAAGTCCCTTTGCCTGTTCTTCGGGTCCCCCATCTCCAATGCGCATGCCTTGCTCTGCGCTGCGCTGCAGTTTACCGTTGGGTTGCACATAGTACAGACAGTCGCCTCCTCATGCTTTTCCCATTCGTTAGTTTTTGGCAGCAGCAAATAAAATGTTTATATGCTATTTACTCAAAACAATTTTAAATAAAATACAAGAAAACCGAAAATAGAGACTCCCCCGACTGTTCCGCTCGCTCTCTCTATCTCTCGCTCTCTCGGTCTCGACTAGCTCTCTCTCTCTCTCTAGCTCTCTCGGTACAGTCGTCGTAGCTGCAGCCTTCCAAGGCGTTGCAATGGGAATTGTCTTCGTGCCTGTTGCTGTCTGTGTGTGGATGTTGTTGTTGTGGCGTGGGCTTTTCTTGCCGGTTTGGTTGGTTCCCCTGTTTTGTTGTGTTGTGTTTTCTGGAAAATGACGCCTTGTCTATGGGTTGCTATATGTGTAGCTGTGTGTGTATGTGCCTGCCGCTCTCTCATTGGCTGTTCTGCGCCAAGTCGGGCTGGTTGGTCGGTTGTTTGTGCCGTTATGTGCAGGCGCTTGATAACTCTTTTTATTCGTTTTGAAGTGCCAGTGTGAGTGTTTTGGTATTTTCTATTGTTGTTCGTTGTGTGGCAAATTGCAATGCATGCATGTTCATACACGCATACGTATAGTTGGGTGGGTGTGGCATGGACCCGGGCTGCATGCGGCTTCCAACCACTAAATAAACAACATACTGCTGCCACTCCCACTGCAAGCATTTTATTGGTATTTTTTTTGCTTAAGCTTCAAGACATAACGGTACATAATAGTGCACTATCTCTCTCGCTCTTCGTCTTTGTCTTCTCCGCATTTCTCGTTCTCCGTTATTTTACAGCGGTTTGAGGCAGCCATTTATCAATGTTTGAGACACCGCCTGTTGTTTGGCTAACGGTTTCCATTGCAGTTTCCGTCGACTTGAAATTTGTCCCATTTCATAGAAATTTCTCCAGTAGTCTTGGGTTCTGTTAAATATATTATTACATGCTAAAATGCTACGATATCTAAGGGGATAAAATATTGCTAGCGGTATTGTATTTGTGGCATAGGGTCCGAAATCTTCATCAATGCAAAAATCCGTGTTTCAAATTTTTTTGAGAGTCGAAATTCTGAAGGGGAAGCCTTAGAACAGAAATTCCCTGCCCTGCAATGGTGCACAAAATGTTTAGAAACATAAAATGTCATTTCGGAAAATTTGCCTGAAAATATGTATTAACAAATTTCTGAGGAAGCAAACCAAAACGAGGATGAAAGCCCCCTATCCTGTTGCCTATCCTCCTTAAATAATTTTCTCTAGCTCAGTGGCATAGGATAAATTATGTGTAGCTATATCGTTGGCCGGAACCTCATCCTTGGGCTTGATGTTCAATGCGGCATAATCGTAGTTCCCCTGAGCATCCAGGGTCCAGTGGCGACGTTCGACCAACTCCAGAAGCTCCTTTCCGCCTGCACGAAGGCCCAGGCGCTGGGCCGCCTGCTTGGGGGTCATCTTCAGGTAGGACTTCTCGATGCAGGAGGCAATCTCCTCGCGGGCCGTGTGCACCAGCATGTCCATGAAGTTGCCATAGATCTCCGAGGGCATGGACTTCTTGGCCTCCAGTATTTTGTTGTAGCGTCCCTCCATGAAGTAGTTCTCGAGGGCCAGCACGGGCATGATGAAGCGATCCTGGAGCAGCAGGGCCGACGGCAGTCGCTCGAGTGCGATGTGGAAGTCGGCGATGCGATTTGTGGCCAGCATATAGAGCAGGCTCAGACCAATCATCTTGTGCATCTCCTGTGAGGGTTCCAGGAACTTGTCGTAGTCGTAGTAGTACATTTTCAGCTGGGCCATGTACCGCTCAAAGGCGGCGTAGTCCTTGACGGTGATGCTGTGCTCCACTGCGATCTCCAGCACATCGCGGGACCTCACCAGTTGATCCTTCTGCTGGGGGTTGGACTTTGACACCTCATGGGGCATCAAGAATCCTCCAAGAATCTCCAGCTTGAAAATGCCCAAAAGTTGACCACAGCGCAGAAGATTCGGGGCTCGTTTGCTCCATTCGGCCTTTATATCTTTGTATAGATTGGACATGATGCTTCCTTCTGTATAAAGTAGTTTGGTTTAGATTGAAATTTGAAAATATGAATAAAGAAACCTGACGTTTGGGGAACGAGTAATTTTTTGAAGAATCAAATTTTGTTGAACTTGACTGAACAGAGTCGGAAAAGGGACTGGAAAGAGTCTTGAATGTATTTAGCAGTCCTACTTTGGTAGTTTTGCTGGCAAGGTAGTTCAATAGTTTTTATACCCTGTACTCAAAGGTTGACCAGGAGAACATCGAACTAGTGTTTGTGTGTAACAGCCAGAAGGAAAATATATTTATATTGCCGAGTCGATAGATCCATGTCCGTCTTGAAGGGCCAGGTTAAGAGAGAGATAGAGTTATGCGGTGTAGAAAGGTTGAAAAATGATTGGATCATATGATTACATTTATATTGTATGTCGCGGCACGTATGCCTTCGCCTATTTGAAGATATTTAAAAACACATTTACAGAAAGATAAATGTATAGAAAGAAGTCTCAATATTAATGATTTAGTGGTTAACATTTTCGATGCTATTGATGATATTGGATTCTGGGACCCGAAAGAGATCACCATCTCCGCCTGACTGTCCACGGTCATTTTTCAAGCATTCTCGCTCGCGTACTACGGAGTACTATATCATTCCTTTTCCTCTGAATGGGTAATCAGAATAGTATTCTAAGACCACTCCCAACACAAATACAACCAATAACAGAAAATAAATACATTTTTGAACTGAAGTCAAACAAAACCATACCGTTTATAGTACTTCCCATTGCAATCTAAAATAATTAAAATATTTATGTACCATTTAGATAAGAAGCATTATCTAATCTTCGAATAGTGTGGTACTCATACGTACACTGTATATTTATAACCAGTCTATAATTAGTTTATATGTAGTATTTATTTATAAACGACATAAAATGCTCGCTGGGGGCTGGCTTCTGTTACCGGTTTTTTTTATGTTTTTGGATCGTATGCGCGTTTGTCATGACGATGCACTTTGGATAACAATGAGCCGTAGTATAAAAATGTTGGCCCACAACCAAAGCACGCACTTTTTAGGGCCAATATATTGGGCTTATCCACAAGGGGGATGTAGCTCAGATGGTAGAGCGCTCGCTTAGCATGTGAGAGGTACGGGGATCGATGCCCCGCATCTCCAAAAGGAGGACTACAGGTCCATATTTTTGTTAAATTTCTTTCCTTTTGTAATCTATAAAAATGTTTTCTTTTGATTGCAGACCAACAAAATGATAGAATCCCCTTTGCTCTCCACGGGCCAGTCCATTATCGCAGTCAAGGCCACCAAGGAAGGCCACAGGAAGATCATCATACTGGGCTGCAAGGGAAACTTTGTGAATTTCCACGATGCGGCCACAGGTCTGTTGCTACGTCGCCTGGGCGTACCCGACGGACTGAACGTCTACAGTTTGCTGCTCAATGACGGACATGTCTACTGCGGCACGCAGAAGAACGAGATCTACAAGTTTGAGTTTGCTGTAAGAATAATCCTCTCCACTGATTGGTTCTTTCAAAATCCAAACTGAATGAATCTTTTGTAACTTTTAGAGTGGAAACCTGGTCACAAAGCTAAGCTGTGGCAATGGGGCCGTGTCCATGGTCAGCTTCAGGGACAGATATTTGCTGATTGGCTGCTATGATGGATTCATTTATGTCTTGGATAAGCATAAGGGCTCCCAGGTGGGCCGGTTCGAGGGCGCTGGACGCTTGGTACTGGCCCTGGCCATAGCGGGCGACAGTGTAAGTCTTGAAGCTTTCAATTTCTCATTGGCATTGTATTTTACATCACTTTCTGCATTTAAAGATCGTAACATCATCGAAGGACAACTCGTTGGAGGTGCTAGAAATCCCCCCGGAAATGCTAAATGGTGGACAACAATGCAATTAGATTAAAGATAATATATAGATCAGATTTAATTTAACAATTTAACACACACATCCGCACGCGCACTTTTTGTATATAACTTTACAATCATACTGATTAGTGAATCATCAGCGAATAGATCAAAATTTTTAATTTTTTTTTATATATTTACAATTTGGCATAATTGTGTTTAAATATGATTTTCCTTAAAGAACATTTCTTCCGTCATGAATAATAGTAATAGAATAAAAGGAAAAGCGCCATTAAAAAGTAAAAAGAAAATGATAATATGTAGTGTATAAATGGTCCTTCCTTCGCCCATCCTTAAGGAATCTGTGGCGTGCGTACGGGCCGCACATTCGTCTGCATTTTGTGCATACTTAGGTTGAGCCTGTGCGTATGATCCCGCAGATAGGCAATGAGATCCGCTTGCTTCTCCAGCAGTTCGGCTGTGTCGCCGCCGGGCTGCATCAGTCCCAAAGAGCCGCCGACTTGATCAGTGCCTCGCAGGACATCTGGGGCCAGATTGGCCTTGTTAAATTTTCTCACCTTGTCTGCAAGGCAAAGCGATTCAGAATTGAAAATAATCTCTCCTGGAAGAAAATATCACTAAACTAACCAATATAGCAGCCATGGAAGATGGCCAACACCACATTCTCGGCAACACTGAACGCAGTCACATAGCTGATGGGCGACAGCCAGCCGGCGGCACAGTGCTCCCAGAAGCTCACTCCATAATAATGATGGATCATGGCCTGGACAGCAAGCAGCATTGAGTTCCAGAGAGACACCACTTGCAGGGGAATGCCCTTCTGCATGCTTGTCTCCCGATGGAAATCATGGTAGCCGCTCATCCGTAGCTTTTGATGTTGAATTTTCACAAAGTGGTCGAAGAGCTGCAAAAATGGAAAATTGACATTGAGCCAGGTCGAATCCAAACGCTTGAATGAATCGCAAGTCCTTACATATGTAATGACCCAGAAGGTTGCACGCAAGTAGAGCATTATAAAGTAGGCGTCGCATCGTCGTTCCGCTGGCCACAGGGCCGCCAGTCCAATGCCCACACACGAAATCACCGACGAGATAAGCAAGTGTATGCTGTAAAGTAGATTTGCATTGGTGTGCGTTAATTGCATTGCACTCATCCATATCTCATCAAATTTCAACCCTTTCGCTGGACAATGAAGTGATTCATTGTCGCCGGCGGCAGGCCCATGCCCCACTCCCATTCATCCTCACCTAAATGCGGGCACGGTTTTCAGCTTGAAGTTTCGATTGTCGTTCGAAAAGAGAACGGGATCCAACAGTTGGTCCGTGTCTTGGATGTGTGGCGGTATAACGCCCGCCGGGACGGCGGCGCCTGTTGATTCGTTATCCATTTTGGGGGTCTTTTTTCCTTAAATGCGCAGCGAAATTATGCGTAATTCTCAAAATGTTTTTATTTTGTTTGTTGTCGGCCAGTGTGAACACGTATTTACAGATAAAATATACCGCCCGGCTCTCAGAAATATACCGAAATATACCATCTTATTTTAAAAATATACCGTAAATATAATGACGAATTCAAGTTTATATTCGTTTTTGATATTCCGTCGATTATTGCTAACTAGATAGATCTCTCAGCCCTGCCCACATAATTTTACCCGATTAATGAATCAATCATCTACTTGACTGCTTTATTACCTGTTATTACCTGAAAAGTATTAAGAGTACAGTAAACGGTCAATCTGTTATCGGCTTTTGTGGCGCTGCTAACTGTACAAAATTGTTTGCGATAACTTATCGAATATTCTCAGGGCTGCCACTTGGTTGAGTTCGAGGTGCTTCACAGAACCAGTTCGTCATAAACTGCCAAATTTGAATTTAAAAAGGCACTATAAAAAAATAGATATTAAATAAAATTCGAACCATAATGGTAACTAAGACTGACTATTAAATTGAGTATTGAGAATATAATCTCACCTACTTCATAGGAAATTAGTTTGATTTTGGCGCACACCTCGATCGATAACGATAAAAGGTGAGCAAATATCATCTCTAGTTCTATGGCTTTTTGTTTAAATTCAATTTTAAAAAAGATAATAAATGACTACTCCTGTGCCGCGCCGCATCAAGGACTTGCTAGCGCTTGGTATTGACTCGGACACGGACGATGACTACAATACGCCTCTCAAGCCGCACCGATCAAATATCGCAGCCGTAAAAAACCCACGGCCAGCGGCGGCGGCATCTGCATTCGGTCAGAGATCAGTCATCGGCTTCAATAATGCTGGCAATAAGGAAAACATTCCACTTCACAATAGGGCAGCCGGTGAAGTGCTGTTAGTATCTTTTTCCACGCAAATGGCGTCGCCTTTTAATTCGGTGTGTGTTTCAGGCCACGGCGCGTCTCTGAAATGGCCATGATGGACTCGGACAGCGATGAGGAGGATGATAACAAAAACGACCACAATCTCAACTGCGCCATTCTCAATGATTCCTTTGTGTTGAGTCCCACGCACGAGTTGTCGGTTAGCGGTGGTCCAGCTTCCTCCACGGGGGCCGCACTCAAGCAATCTGATTCGAATTTGTCATTCCTGGGACGCTTCGGCAACATGGGCATCAACTGCAGCAGCAGCACCACTGCCCCCAATCAGAACTCCCCGGCGGCTGCGCCAGAACCGCAGGCCATCAAAAAGCTCCAAACAATCTCAGAGCGACGTAAACTATTTGATGACGAGACTCCCCTGCGCAATGGATCCTCGATTGTGGCCAAGTCTCATGCGAAGCCCGAAGGTGACTTCATAACGCCACTGGTGCGAGTACGCGGCTCCACTCAGGCATCTAAACCCCGCAGTGCGGTATCCAATGAGTTTCGCTCGCAGAAGGTTCTCTTCCAGACGCCCATGACCGTGGGCCGTGGCGCTCCCTTTCCCTGCGACAGCTTCTCCCTGTGCGACACCATCAGTGAGAGTCCCGACATTCCCCCGGCAAAGCCAGAGCCGCAGCCCAAGGCAGAGCACATCCATGGAAAGTCAAAGAAGTCTTTAGACAATGCTTTCCATGAGGCAGAAAATGAAATGTTGCCGCCAAAAATTGAGCCAGTGAAACCCAAAGATGTTGTGTCGGTGCCCATTAAGAAACCAGAGCCATTGCCGCCCTCCACCTCCACCAAATCATCGAACAACATAATAAAGATAAAGGATCATGAGTACGCGATATGCCAGAAGCTGGGCTGTGGCGGCTCCAGTTCCGTTTACCTGGCCCGTCGTCCGGACTCTGGTGGGGAGTTTGCCTTGAAGGTAGTGGATCTGCAGGCCGATCCGACGGTGGTGCAAGGCTATTTGAATGAAACCAAGCTGCTGGAGAAGCTGCAGGGCAACGTATGCGTTGTGGCTTTGTACGATTAGTGAGTAACTAGATTTCAGAGACTTTAATGGTATAAATACATTCCGCTTTCCCACAGTCAACTTCTGCGCGAGGAGTCCAAGCTGTATGTGGTGATGGAGAAGGGTGACTCCGACTTGAACAAGATCCTCCAAAGCTACACCACAAATCTGCCCGCCTACAGCCTGATGAGCATTCTGTACCAGATGCTGCAGGCTGTCAACTATATCCATTTGCACGGTGTCATACACTCGGACCTGAAGCCGGCCAACTTTCTGATGGTCAATGGCCGTCTGAAGCTGATTGACTTTGGAATTGCCAGCAACATTTCGGTGGACTCCACCAGCATCATAAAGTTCTCCCAGGCGGGCACCTTTAACTACATCAGTCCTGAGGCGCTCACGGATATCTCGACGGGCAACAGTCCCATGCGCGGTGCTAATCAGCCCAAGATAAAGATCTCCACCAAGTCGGATGTATGGTCCTTGGGCTGCATACTGTATCTGCTGCTGTACCAAAAGACGCCCTTTGGTCATATACGCAATATTTGTGCTAAGATGAATGCCATTGCCAATCCGGGGACAAACATTGAGTATCCAGAGATACCTTTCTACTATCCAGCCATGCTGGTTCATGTGAGTTTTCGTAGAGTACTATCAAAGACAATACAATTACCAAGATGTTGCATGAGGCTCCAAAAAGATGTTCTATGGCGGCATATTCTTCTCAGCTTCGCCTGTTCGTCAATTCCGTGGGAAGCTGAGTCGTTCCGCAGAATCCAACAGCAATCCACACATTATTAGGCGAGGCTTTTCGGTCAACAAATTAAATAATAAGAGTAAGAGTAAGGCGACGCGCACAAGTCGCTGTTAAGAAACAGAAATTGAAATGGAAATTTGTTACTGATGCAACAACTTGGTATTTTAGTCTTTGATATCATATATGTAGATGTGGGATATATATTCAAACTCCTTTATAGATGGTCAAAAATTGCCTTCAGCTGAATCCCAAGATGCGGCCCTCGTGCACTCAACTGCTGCAGTATCCCTTCCACATGGTCATTCCCCTGCAGAATCTACAGATTGGCAGCAAAGCCAGCACCAACCAGCCAACAACTAAGTAGTTAGCCAGCCAGCAAAAGCCCAACAAAAGTATTCTCTCACTTTATCTCATATGTGTGTATGTATTTAATTCTCATTTACCATAAGTTATACATCATAAATCTTAATAATGCAGGCTATAGCTCATTCGTTTACTTGGGGGGAGGGGGTCGCCTTTTGTGTGTTTTTTCCTTCTACTCCTCCTCCGTCGTTTCGGTTTACACTTAAATACTTTTTTTGCATGCAACAAGTTTACTTTTTGACAATTCTTTTATCGCTAATTAGCTAGCATTTCGTGTGAATTTGCGTTTTACTTATAAATACGGTTTCATTCTCTTTTGTGTGTGTGTGTGTGTGTGTGTTTGTTTATATAAAAATAGTTATTTCTTGGTTTTATATACGCCTAATTAAATGTTGTTGCTGTTGCTGTCGTTTGTGGGGTGGACCGAGACCACATGCTGCTGCGGATTTGAATACTTTTTGCTTCACAATTAAATTAAATTGAAAACAGAACATGGAAAACATGGAGAAAAAAAAATACACATACAAATTACATGCATACAATACATAAATTTAGGATATTTAACTATAAGTATATAATTGGTTTATTTTGTATAGAATTGCCTTTTAAGTAGTTTTTGTTTTTGTGTAAATTCATTTGCTTAAACATAAGATACATATACATATACAATTGTTTATAGCGCGTGTTTTTTTGTTTAAATGCAAGTTCAACACAAATATTATACGCATACGCAAACGCATACGGCCTTCTGGTTAAATAATCATTGATAATAATTAATAGTTAGAAAAAGACATTTTTCTCACTTTGAGCAGCAGCAATGGATTTTTTTGTTTGTTTGTGAGGGAGGGCTCTAGAATTCCTTCGATTTGTTTTTACATCTCGTTTAACATTGCACAAAAGTCGTTTTTATATTAATTTTACTTTTTTGTTGCTCTAGTTATAAGTTCTTAAAGCATTCCCGTACGTAGTTCTTCATTCTTTAAATGTTAAATGGTTGCGGTTGCTGTTGCTGTGGGAGACTCCTCTCGTTAAACTTAATAGAATTGTTAGAATTATGGTTTGCTGTTGCTGTTGTTACGGAAGTTTGGACAAACTCGTGTGTGTTGTCCGCTTGTCATTTATCGTCGTTGTAGGACTTCTCCATCTAATGCTCTTCCGCGACATTAAATGTCCTGCAAAAAGAACATTGCTTCAGAATCTCCATTGAAAAAAGGAAGACCTGCCACCCACCTGCTCCCCATTTGAGGCATGCTGTTGCAGCTTGGTGATCAGCTGCTCCTTCTGGTTAACAATGCCACGCCAATGCTCGTCCTGCTCCCGTGCACGCTCCTCCAAGTCCATCAGCGTGTTGGTCTGCAGAAAATAATTTAAGAATAGAATAAGAGAATCAATAATAAAAGCACCATTTCTTACCGTTTTGGTGACCAGCTGCGTCAGCTTGTCGTTCGTTTCCCGCAGCTGCAGGTTCTGTTTGTGCAGCTCCAGCTGCTGTTGCTGCTGCTCAGCAGTGGAGGCGGCGGAGGAGGAGGAGGATTTGCTATTCGAACTACTATTATTGCTACTAATATTGTTGGGGATGCTGCTGGTGCTGCTACTATTGTGGTTGCTGCTACTGCTACTATTGTTTGATTGTGTGGACTTATTACTACTATTCTGAGCCGCCTTCCTCTCCAGCTCCAGCTGCTGCTGCTTGATGTGTGTGGCCAGGACCTGCTCCAGCCACTGATCAAAGGAAGCCTGCAGGGCGCTGGCCGCTTGCGCTTTCACCGCTTCAGGGTAGAGACGCTGGTAAAGATCGCGTATGCGTTGCTGTTCGCTCTTTGCGGAGGAGTTTCCCCCATTGGCAGCCGCCACGGACTTTTGCTGTTGTTGCTGTTGCTGTTGCAGCTGCAGATCTTGCTTTTGCTGTTGCAGATCCTTCTGTTGCTGTTGCAGATCTTTCTGTTGCTGCTGCAATGAGGAAGAATCAAGAGAATAGAGTTTTGCAGGATTTCAAGGAAAATTAAGCTAGGAAAAGGGACAGGATCTGTGCATGCACTTACGCCTAAGGATTGCTTTGTATTTGTTTTCGTCTTTGCCGTGGCGGTTGCTGTTGCTTCGGCATTTTGCAACGCTTCAATCAACTTCCAATTTTTCATACGCACGTCCTGACGAAACACAAATACGTGTGGCAAATTAGTAAAAGGGTGCAACAACAACGCAAGAGGATGGGAGACCACGGGCATGCGAATGGGTAGGACAGAAACAAACACGAATCAGCTAAGAGTTTCCTTTACTTACATTATTCTTCTCGCGCTGTTCCTGCAACTCCTGCAGCAGCTGTTTTTCCCTTGCCACCAGCTGCTCGGCGCGTTGTTGCAGCTCCAGCACCTGAGATTGCAGGCTGCTGGAGTGCTGCTGCTGCTTGTCCTGGGCCTCGGTCAGCGATCCGTACTGGGCCTGCAGCGCACTCAGCTCCTGCTGCTTCTTGGCCAAAGCATCGGACTGGAACTGGGCCTGCTCCGACTGGGCGGCCGTCGCCTGTACGGCGCTGCTTGTGGCTTGGCTGAGCTGCTGGTTGAGTGTCTGGTTGTTGGCCTCCAAAGTGGCCGCCTGCTGGCGCAGCTCCTGCAGCTCTCCGCCCCGGACGTGCTTCAGTTCCGACTGGGCCTGCGCAAGATCGGCTTTGGCCGACTCCAACGCATTGTGGAGATTGCGCAGCTCCACCTTTAGCTCGCCGTTCTCCGCGTCCACGTGCTTGCGCTCCTCCAGCTCGTAGATACTGTTGTTCTGGCGCACCTCCAGCTCGTCGCGCTGCTGCTCGAGGGCGAGCAGTTGCTGTGCCTGCTGCTGAATCAGCTCGTTCTTCTGCTGCGTCTCGGCGCTCACGAAGGCGGTCATGTCGGCCAGGCACTTCTCCTTGTGTGCCAGATCCTGTTGCAGGCGCTGCAGCTGCGGCACTAGATCCTGCGAACTAGCCTGCTTTTCCCTCAGCAGGGTCTAAAACGAAAATATAAGAAACTTATAGGAGGCTCATTTGGCGTGGCTGCTGTGGACATACCTGGAATTGCTGGCGTTCGAGGGTCAGCTTGTCGTTGAGACTGGACAACTCCTGATTGACGGCGGACAGCTCCTGCTCCTTGGCCTGGAGCTTGTCGTTGTAGGCCTGAATGCGACCGTGCATTTGGGCGCGCTCCGTATTGACCTCCTGGCGCAGTTCACGCAGCTTGGCCTGGATGCCAATGGAGGCCTCCTGCTCTTCGGCCAGTAGCTTCTCCTTCTCCTCCAGCTGGCGCTTCAATTTCTGGCAAATATCATCCGACCACTCGGCATGGGAGGCGGGCATATCCTGCTGCTTGTTCAGCAGATAATCGATCAAAATCTGGATCTCGGAGCGATTCAGCTCGGCCCGGGAGAAGACATTCATGAGGGCTGAGACACCAATCGTTTGGTTCTGATGCTCGGCCAGTTTTTCCAAAGCCTGGGCCAGTTCCTTGGCTGTCAGCGTCTCCTTCTGCTGTTTCTTGTGCTGGTGCTGCTGCTGCTGCTGTTGCTGTTTGGTCTTGTTGTTCACTTGGTTGTTTTGGGTCTTGGGCGAGCCGTTCTGCTGTTGCTGCTGCTGCTTCAGTATCTGTTTGGGTACGGACGGTGCCTCCTGGTCAGCAGTGGAGGGCACTCCTCCAGTGACTGGCTTCTCCTTTTTGGCCACACTGCCGGCTGCGTTCTTCTTCTGGGCCTGCTGCTTGTTGTTGTTGTCCTCTTTGCGCTCCTTTTGCTCCTGCTTCTTTAGCTCGACCACGTCCTTGGGAGCCCGTACCTCAAAATTATTCAAAGTAGGAGTCTCCTCGACGGTAGCGGGCTTGACGGCCACCGGCTCGTTTTTGTTGACCAAAATGCCAGCCACAGATGCGGCGGCTGCTGCTGCTGCTGCTCCTCCACCCTTGCCAGCATTCCGCTTGTCCTTCTTGCCCTTCTTTCCTACAGGGACGTTCTCCTTTTCGGCCGCATTGCTTGACCTACGCTGGTCGTGCATGATCTCTGCATCGGGCTCGAATTCCACATGCTGCTTGGACAGGCCGGGCTCCTCCTCGACCGAACCCTGCTCCTCGGACTGGCCATCGGAGTAATCCTCCTCGGGATCATGGCTCGCATCCCGCTGCTGTTCCCTTTGGCGCTGCTTCTTCTCACGCTTCAGTTCCTTCTTCTTGGGCTTCTTGCTGGCCGCTGCTCCTCCGCCGGCCTTGTACAAATTGGCGCTCAACGCGCGCTTCTCGGCCACGACCTCTTCGAAGGTCTTGCGCCTGAAGATCTTGTTGATGAACAGGAAGGAGAGCAGGGAGGCGCTGATCACACAACCAATGACGATCAGTATGTGGAAATCCATATTTGCATATTATGCCTTGATGCAGCTGATTGGGGGTTCTTCTCAGGAATCTCTCCTTAACGTGTAGGTTACTGGAATCAAAGCGGCAAGAGTTATAACGGGGAAAAATTTGATGTTTCAGAACCTATTTCTAATGAAAATCAACTAAAAAAACCCCATCATTTATTTTAGTTCCTGCTTCGTTATCAGCCATTTTTTGTGCGCTGCTGCTGCTGATGACGTGTACTTTTGCAATTAGTGGATCGGATCAAGTCGGCAACAGACGAGCAAAAACTGTCAAAAAATTTCACATTAAACGAAAGATCAACGACATTTACACCCAATAGCAATTACTGCAAGTCTGTGTATTGGTGTAATCCACATGCGTGTGCGTGTACGTGCGATTGTGTTCGCGCTCGTGTATGTACATATGTACATTGTACAACAATAAATACATAGTACGTGCTTATCAGTTTACCGGCCGGCCGGTGAATGGTACCATAATACACGTACACTTTATGATGAACAACTCTTGTTATTGCACTTCGCACTGTTTGTTTGGCGTTTATTTATTTGTAAAAACTGCGCTTTGCTCAAATTTTTCATTGTGTTATTTCAGTGTCGGGAGATTAACGAAGTGCATGGCAACAAAGGGCTGCATGGCGGCGGGGTATCCG